TTTTTATGTTTTTATTTTAACATTTACTCTACTCAGAAAGTCAGCCAGCCAGCCAACCAACCAGCCGGCTAACTGAGGCACAATCAACAAGCTGGGCTCAAAATACTTTCAGTTGATTTTTAAATTCAACATCAGTACGGTTTTTGAAGCGTTCGCAATTGCATTAAAATAATATAATAATAAAAAAAGGAAATAAATACAAAATAAAAATTCGAAATTAAAATAAAAGTGAAATCTTGTATATGAAAAAAAAACAGTGATATAAAATGAAAATTGTTAAACCAGTTAAAATCAATTATTGAAGTAAAAAAATTGCCTATAAATTGCAAAGTATTGAAAATTAGTAAAAATTTATCGTTTGATTAAATTTTTGTAATCAATGTTTATAATTAAAATTCTCTAGCAAATGGCAAATTACTATAAAAATAGTCATTTGTTTTATAAGGTCTAATAAAAACAATATAATTTGTATTTTCAAATTTAAATTATATTTTGTATTCTTCATAAAGTGCTTAATTTGTTTAATGTTTATATTTATCACTTTAATGCACTGATTAATTATTGTCTATAATTAGCACAACAATAGAAAAAAATATTTCAAACGAATTTCAAAATTCAAAGCAAAAGATTCTGTAATGTACAACCTTAAGTGCAAAATACGATAACACATGTTTTACAATCAATCTTGGGGGGTAATGATTTAATTTTAAATTACATTTGATGTAATTGTAATTGAAGATTTACAAATTACAATTACTTGCATTTTGCCAATTACAATTAATTGTTATTGTGATTTTTTCCTTACAATTACATGTAATTTGTAATTAGTAATGCCTAAATTACTTTAATTACAATTAAAAGTAATTGTAATTTGCAAAACTTCAATAACAAGTAATTATAATTGGCAAAAATTCAATTACTTCTACAAATAATTGTAATAGGTTATTGCTCAATTAAACATTACAAGTAATTGACCATGTAATAATTACTTTAAAGAGACCAAATTATACTTTTCTAAAGGATTGAACAACGAGAATTATCCATCACAACATGTTTTCCAGATATCGTGTAATGAAATTTGAAAAAATATTATCAGGTTGATTTTCATAAGGGTCAACTCTGGACCAAACTCTATAGATTTTAAGAGAGTGATAAATTTGTAATATCACTCTCTTGCAGAGAGATTTTAGTTCATCAGTACAAGTTACTGATGAACTAAACGAATGTCAATTTTCATTACTCTAGTTTGGAACCTTGTATATAGTGGCTAGGGTCAAATGTAGACCGATTTTGTACATTTCCAATACCAAACAAACTTCATCAGACTGATTAACATTAGAGTGGTCCCATTTTTATGGAGACAAAATAAGGTACTGATGTTCCCATCGAAAATAAAATCTTTGTTCATTCTAAGATACCGTTTTACAAAATTTTTGTTCTGGGGTCAATTTTAAGTTTTTCGGACAATTTTTTCCGAATTTCACATATGTGATTAAATGAAATTAATACATCATAAACCTCATTAAGTTTCACTGAAATGGAGATAGGAAATATATCATGGCCCTGCCTGACCATACACTCTTACTTGTTTTTATATACATATTTCAAAAATATCAGTTGATTGATCTTTAAAGTCTTTAAACTTATGACATTTTAAAATTCTATAAATAATTTATCAATGTGTGTAATTTACATACATATAAGTTCATTACTTTACAATTTTTCTGTCATTTAATTGCAATTGAATAAATATTTTATTTTTTTTTTTTTTTTTGCTACAAAGTGAAGAATTGTAATAAAAAAAAAAATAAATGAAAATAATAGAATTAAATAGTAATCAGTATACAACATTTAATATAAACAAATTAACATGAATTTAAAAACTTTAATATTACCTTTAATCGTACAAATTTGTTTAATATTCTCTGTAAGAGCCAACGAAACGGAAGAGAGGTTTGTATCTATGCTATGCGTCAAATTGCAATTGAATCGTTTGATTGTTATAATGAAGAGAGAATTTAATTTAATAAAGAAGTGAAAGTGTTTAAAGATTTTTTGCTTGGTTTTAAAGTACTCGCAAATTCAAAAATCGGATGGGAATCAGTTAAGACATTTTAACAATGTGTAGACAAACGAACCATGATTTTTTTAAAAGAAGGCAAATTATATTGTTATGATATCCATTATTTTCTATTTTGAAAATCTTATTTCTTTAATGTGAATCGCATCCGGAATATTCGACCAAACATGAAGCATTAATATATTTATGACAACGCTGGGTTTTGTTGTTGTTAGATAAATTAAAACCAATTTAAATAATAATGGTTAAGTTTTGCCTCACCCGGTCTATAGTCCAGACTTTGCTACGTCCGACAATATTTTTGGTCTCCATCACCACTGATGGTGGTGAGATTTTAGAATGAGGTCAATAGACACCTTTAGATCTACATTTAGATTTAAATGAACCTATAGTGTGTTTAACAAATTACATAGTATATAAATTAAATTAATTTAACGATTCATTTGTAATACATCACAAAATCATACATCCATCCCTTCGCTTTTAAATTATCACCTCCCCTGTTTACAGCCCACTATGGATATGCACCACATCAGATTTATGTCTTCTAGACACAGCTCCCAATGTTGGTGATGTCAAACGTTTTGAAAGTCAAAATGACTGTCGTTTGTCGTGTGGTAAATATGGTGCCATTTGGCCTATGCCAACCGGTGATTGTAGCCTCTCCAAAGATCGAGTGCACTTTGATCCATGGAAGGTGCGTTTTAATGTGGTAGCACCAACACCGGCTACAACCCAATTTATACGTGAAACAAATCGTATATTTTTAAGTAACATCATCAAGGAATGTGTTCGCAATTGTACATTGGACAATAGTAAAGAGGTTTTGGTAAAGGCCACCATAGAGTCAACAAGTTTAGCGCTCGATTGGTCTACAGATGAATCGTATGTGCTGTTAATACGAACTACAGGTGGGATTAAGAAAAAAATGTCAAATGATAATTGCTGAAATATTGAATTTTCTTAAAGGTACCGCCACGTTTGTGGACATTAAGGCTCCTACTGTTTATGGTGCCCGTCATGCTTTTGAGACTTTAAGTAATTTGATAACTGGCTGCATAACGTAAGATTTTTTTTTTAATTATCTTGGAACATTTTTATAATATGTTTGGTTTTGTAAAATTTAGCAATGGTTTGCTGATGGTGGATGCAGCTCGCGTTTATGATCGTCCTTTATATCCTCATCGTGGTGTTTTACTGGACACATCACGTAATTTTATGCCTTTAAGACAGATACGCAATACTTTGGATGCCATGGCTGCTTCCAAGTTAAATGTATTACATTGGCATGTGGTGGATACACATAGTTTTCCTTTGGAAATTACTAGAGTACCCGAAATGCAACGGTAAGGATGAAGTTTTGTAAAGAATCAGACAAATCGAAAAAAGGACCAATGTAAAATGGAAACGGTTCATTCACAGCCATGACAAGTGGAAACTCAACTATTTTTTACGGATATTGGACTACATATAGGACATATTTTAAAAGACAATTAAAGTGAAATAGAGCTTTGAAATTTGTATATAAGACCATGTTTAATTTTGAATATGAAAATTTGAATTTTTAGTGTTAATTCCTTAGTTATTATTTCGATAGATTAGCTTTATGATTTCTAGTGTTTATATATTCAAAATATGGTCAAAATTTTTCGGAGTGAAACTCTTTGATATTAATTTAAAACTGTGAAGTGAAAGAGGAAGGAAAACGACAGTTGTTTTAATATATTGAAATACCAATCAAGGAACAAAGAATGTGAAATTTAAACTCACTTTATTTACAGCTTTGGAGCCTATTCTCCCACAAATACTTACTCACGAACCGATACCATAAACATGATCAAATATGCTCGACTAAGAGGCATAAGAGTGCTTATGGAAATTGATGGTCCTTCGCATGCCGGTAATGGTTGGCAATGGGGACCCATGGCTGGCATGGGTAATATGGCTGTGTGCATTAATCAAAAACCCTGGCGTTCATTTTGTGTACAACCGCCATGTGGTCAACTTAATCCTTTAAATGACAATATGTACTCGGTAATGAAGGAAATCTATGAGGATATTGCTGAAGTAGGAGCTCCAGAAGAAACCATACATATGGGAGGAGATGAAGTGCACATAGACTGTTGGAACAATACGGAAGAGATTACAAAGAAAATGCGTGAAACTGGATTTGATCTGTCGCTACCAAGTTTCTATAAGTTATGGTCTGTCTTCCATGAGAAAAACTTGGAGTCGTGGGATGAAGTAAATCAGAGGCAATTTCCCAATATCAAAGAACCTAAATCGACTATTGTGTGGTCTAGTCATTTAACAGATCCTCAGTATATAGAACAATACTTGGCCAAAGAACGTTTTATCATACAAACTTGGGTGGGGGCATCAGATCCACTCAACGATCAATTGTTGAAAAGGGGTTATCGGATTATAGTTTCCACCAAGGATGCCTGGTATTTGGATCATGGTTTTTGGGGAAGGACACAATATTACAATTGGGCCAAGGTATATAACAATAAAATTGAAACTAATCCCAAGATTTTAGGTGGAGAGGTGTGTATGTGGAGTGAATATGTAGATCAAAATTCTGTGGGTGAGTTGGTATAAACTATTTACATACAAATGGCGTTTGTTTTATATGATTAAACTTCTTACAGAGGCTCGCATTTGGCCTAGAGCGGGTGCAGCTGCTGAGCGTTTGTGGTCTAATCCCAAGACTGACTCCCTTCTAGCCCAATATCGTTTCTATCGCTACCGACAGCGTTTGATTGCTCGTGGTATACGTCCCGACGCTGTTGCCCCGAAATGGTGCATCTTAAATGAGGGTCAATGTTACTAAGCTTATCTACCAAAAATAAAGGGTGCCTTGTTAAAATTTCCTTACATTAAATATACATTGTATTTGTATTATTATAAAATAAAAATAAAAATTTGTTTAATTGTTTACATAAATTAAAATGTTTACTTAATATAACCTTGATCTATGGCATGTTTGAATATTTCGGCAATACGTTGCCTTTTTGCTGGCTCCTCGAAAGGTTTAATATTCCATACATCGGTTAATACTGAATTTTCGGTTATTTCATCCAAATCAGCAACTTCATCATCTTCTATCAGAGACATGGGCAATGATTCAATACCCATACCACAACCAAATCTACCAAATTCTTTTAATTCATCTAACAAATCTTGCCAAGACATAACCTTTTCGGCATCTGCTCCCAAATCGTTGATAATATTGCTGGCACTTTCATGATAAGCTTTCAACAGAGCCTCATAATGAGACTCTCTAAGAGCTTGACTAGTGCAGGAATAAATGAAGAATGATATGTCAACAGCAACGGAAGCCACGCGAGCCAATTGGAAGTCTATTATTTTAATGCCTTCTGCCTTACCATCAGCACTGTAGCGTGTTAGAAAATTAGGTGTCCAACAATCACCATGACCAAAAACAGTGAGTTTAGCTGGAATAGTGGAAATAGTTTAATGGAATACACTTCATTTTGATAGCAATAGAGCTTACATCTGGTTGACACTAAATTAATTAGATCATCGTAAAGGGTTTCCTGTAGAAAATTTCCGGTAATTGTTTCATAATTAGTATTGGGAAATGTTTTTGTTATAGCATCTTGAGCTACCGAACAGGCCAACTTTAGAAAATCTATATACCATTTGCGATTTGATTCGCAGTAGTAGGTTTCCTAAAAAGATAACAAATAATTAATTATAAACAAATAAAATCATTTTTTTTATAAATTTAAAAAACCTACCTCCAAACATTTGGCCACTTTTTCGAATTCTTTTGGCTCTAAAGCCTGGAATGCCAAAGAAATACCATGGAATCTACCCATGGTACGCATGGTCAACAGACACTCCTCTAACGATATGTAATCCTGACGGTTGGGGGCACCGTAACCCAAAAAGCTGACATCTTGTAAAGCAACAAAATCATTTTCACCATCACAATGGGTGGCATAACAAATGGGATAATCATTGAATGGATTTTTAGGATTGCGTTTCTTTTGGAATGCTTCCCAAGCGGGAACAACCTTTAAATAGAAATTAATTTCATTGCGGAAAAAGTCGGCTGAACGAAAAACCTTACGGCGAGCCATATTATCCGGCATACCCTTAACTATAAGATTAACTTCGACATTTTCGCTGAAAAAAGAATTTTAATTATTAAAAAAAATAAGTATATTCAGTCATATGACTTTAAATGATATTCTACACCAGTAAAATTAAAGTCATTTTCGGAATGAAATACCATACGTACTTCAAGACAGGTATGTGAGGGTACAAAACCATTTTTTATGAAACTTACCCAGTTGTTTCATTAATGCCATAAACACACAAACGAAATACTTTACTCAAATAAGAGTCTCCCTTTTTGAAACCTTTTCCAAATTTGTACGAAGTGTACTTGGTGCCGCCAGCTTTTTTGATAATTTCCTCACAGGTGGCTTCCGTGAATTTTTTCGAAATGTCCGTTAAACTCATGATGATCTAAAACTGAAATTCATTTTTACTGATTACATTTTTATTAAAAAATACTTGAACATTTTAAAAATATTTAATTATTTCTCTTTAAGTGGATGTTTATTTATCTTAACATTATTTTTGAATAGTTTTATTTACAACTTAAAAAAACAAGTTTTCTAATAATGTTTATCAGGCAGATGACATCTGGAGGGTAATGTAATACTTATGTATGTTTAATATTCAGATATGTATGTATGTATATACATACATAGTTACCTATTACTACCTCTATATATAAATTGCTTTGTTATTGGCAAAGGTTAAACAAATTAATAGCCTTCATTATTATTAATTATGTTTGTTTATTTACACAAAATTATGCTTGTTTACTTTTGCAAAATTTTCAATTTTATAAATGAAATTGTTAATATTAATTATTTAAATATAGTTTTATAATTTCTTTGCTAATTTATTTACCCACTTTTAAATAATTATAACTATTTCGGGAAACTATCTTTCTCACGTCCAATTAAAAACTCTTTTAACTAGTTTTGTCCACATCAACTTTAGTAAAATGTATTTATCTGCCGGCCTTTTAGTATGAACAGTTGTAAAAAGTAGTATGATTTTACTTTTGCAAATAACTGTAAGAGTTACTATTGTGAATTTTACGTATTAACCCAAATCTGACCTTTAGGTTAAAAATGTGCACGTTTTATGCTGGAACTATGTTAGATTTAAGTTTAAAAAGTGATTAAAATTTAATTATATTTTAATAATTAAAAAAGCAATAAAGTATAAAATTATAATTTTTGAAAAGCCGAAAGCCAAAGCTACTAATGCTTTATTCTTTATTTTAATTATAATTTTCAATTGTAATTAAATTTTTTTAAAATATAAATAAATAAATAATTTTTGATTTGAAGTTTAAAAGTTGTAATTTCTCCGCGAAAAACTTAACTGGCCTGTTGTCTTTTCCTTTACTAGTATGCCAGGTTAGAACCGAATCCACGTCATCAGGTTTACCAGACTTGAACACTTACCTCTACATACAGAAGGACATACCACTTTAAATTACAATTTATTTATATTTGCTCATGGAATGAAACATAAATTTTTGAGAATAGTATTGTCCGATGTTTTGAATAAATTTCGATGTTTTGAATAAATACATTTTTATTTGACGTTAAAGTTTTTAAATCGTGTGAAAATTTCATTATAAACAAGTGTTATTTATTGTCAGAGGTTTGAACTATTGCTAAAAAATATAAAAAAAATAAGTTTTATAATTATAAACGATAAAACTAAAATATTAAAATAAAGTATTAAATAATAATCAGGGTAGGTAAAAATATCACTCGCGATCAATATTTTATTTATATCGCTTGTTTTAAAATTCAAAATCGCGAGTTTTATTTTTTAACACGCGAGCACAATTTTAATTATTGTTTTATGAGTTTGTATTCGCTTCGTAAGCGATATTTACATGTTTTTTTTTTTTCAACTCGCTTACGAGCGTGTGGAAAACGAGTTGAATTATAGTTAAATTCGAGCCGAAAATCAGCAATATATGTATGCAAGAAAAAGGGTCTGTTGTGGCAGGAAAAAAGAGCGAATAATATGGGAAAGAATTTTGTTTGTGTGATTGAATTTTTTCATGTTTAATCGAAATTGAACAATACAATTTTGCTCAGTGTTGTTTTTTATTGTGAATTTTATTTTAAGTACACAATATATACAACCCTGTGTAACAGCAAGCAAATACACAGCTGACTTTAGTTTTGTTTACACTCTCTCACACAAATACAAAACAACATAAATTTCGCAAAGCAACAAGTTTTCAAATAAATTTTTTACTTAAATTATGCACTTAATTAAAAATATTATTTAAATATCAAAACAAAACATGAATCGTTATAAAGTAAGCTCCCTAGTGGGAGAAGGTTCTTTTGGTATGGTGTACAAAGCCGTGCGTAAAGATGATGACCAAACAGTGGCCATTAAAGTTATATCCAAAGTAAGTAATTTCTTGTTAAAAATAAAAATTGCATATTAAATATCTTCTGTTTAAATAGCGAGGACGTTCTACTCGTGAACTAAAGAATTTACGAAGAGAATGTGATATACAAGCCCAACTGAAACATCCCAATGTTATTGAAATGTTGGAGTCTTTTGAAACTAAAAATGAGTTGGTTGTGGTTACAGAATTTGCTCTCATTGATTTACATCGCTATATGTCGCGCAATGGTGCCTTGACCGAGGATAAGGCACAACGTTTAATCTGCCACTTGGTGTCGGCTTTGTATTATTTGCACTCCAATCGTATTTTACATCGTGATTTAAAACCTCAGAATGTTTTACTCGATGAAGATTTACATGCCAAGTTGTGCGATTTTGGTCTGGCCAGAAATATGACTATGAGTACTCATGTCTTGACTTCTATTAAAGGCACTCCCTTATATATGGCCCCAGAGTTATTGGCCGAAAAGCCATATGATCATCAGGCTGATCTGTGGTCTTTGGGTTGTATAGCCTATGAAACTATGGCTGGACAGCCACCATTTTGTACCACATCTATATTGCATTTGGTAAAAATTATCAAGCACGAAGATGTAAAATGGCCAAGTTTTCTCAGCAGCGAGTGTCGCTCGTTTTTACAGGTAAATAAATGTAGTAAACAAATCAAAACGTAAAGTTATGTTTATTTGTATTTGTAAAGGGTTTATTGGAAAAAGATCCTTCCTTGCGTACCAGCTGGGCTCAGATTTTATGTCATCCTTTTGTTGAAGGTAAACTCTATATAAAAGCTGGCATTAAAGCTGAGAATTCACCTTTTATTAATCCTCAAATTAATAAAAACAAAACAAAGACTTCGAATACAAAAGAAAAGTAAGTAAGAAGAAATAATAAATATGTATATTAATTCCCAATCATTTATTTAAATAGCTTGGATATTAATAAAATTACCAAGAACTTGCGAACAATTAATTTAAACGAAACCCAGGATAATCTTATGTGTTCGCGTGACAGTATTAATGCCATACCACCCAGTGATATTGAGCAATTAGAGACGGATGTTGAGGATAATATAAATCGAATTTCGGTACCTTTTACCGAACAGTCATATCGCAATGATAATGCAAAAACGATTACCCAAACACCCTCGAAGCCGCCTGATATTGCTCCAGTTGCGGCAGCACCAGTAGTAAATTCGCAGACTTGTTTTGTAAGCGGTAATAATAATATGATTTTAAATCATTTAAACGACAATTTTGCTGTACATGAGGCCACCAAAACCACTGCAAGTGGCACAACTAAAAATAAACCCTTGGCCTGTAACAACTCGACTAAGAAATCGCGCAATAAAGATTTGGAAAAGCGTAAACTTAGTCAAAATCTTGACAATTTTTCTCTTCGTTTGGGTAACAATGTTGAAAATGACAATCAAAAGAAATCTAGTGATAAGATTTCTCTTTCGAAAAAGGATCAGGAAAATAATTTAAAAGATTCTAAAAGTACAGCTATAAAAACTCCGAATCAGTCGGGAGAGGAAAAACAATCTAGTGATAAGATTTCTCTTTCGAAAAAGGATCAGGAAAATAATTTAAAAGATTCTAAAAGTACAGCTATAAAAACTCCGAATCAGTCGGGAGAGGAAAAACAAAGCACAGAGTAGGTTTGATTTTTGGATTTGAAAGATAAAATGAAGTTAATTATCAATAATATTTCTAGAAATTCACCACCTTGTTTATTACCCGGCTGGGATTCTTGTGATGAATCTCAAAGTCCTCCCATAGAAAATGAGGAATGGTTGGCCTTTTTGCATCGCTCTATGCAGGAGGTACTTGATGGTGAATTGGAATCTTTAAAACAGCAAAATTTGGTAGATTTTTACAAAATGAAAATTTTAACAGAATTTTCTAAACTACATTTTTAACCTATAGGTCAGTATTATAGTGGCGCCTTTACGTAATTCTAAAGCCATACCCAAGGTAGTGGATAGTGTGGCTCAATTGTTGTCTTTGCCATTTGTGTTGAATGAACCCTTAAGTATTATAGAAGTTATAAAAATGGTAAAACAAACAAAGATTATTAATTAAGAATGCAATTTAAAATAAATTATTGTTGTTTAGGTCTATGCTGATGTTAAACTGGTGCCCAATTTAATGTATGCCTCCAAACTATTAATCTATCAGCGATCTGTTGATGATTCCACCGCCTCGTTGCCCTTGCCCAACAATCCACAACGTAAAATACGCACAGTGAGTGAATTAAATAATGAAGAAATCAAATGTGCCTCCAGATTATATGAACTCATTTGCCATTTGGTTCTCATTAAACAACAATTCTTGACACAATTTTGTGATGCAGTGGCTATATTGGCTGCCGATGAATTACTCATCAACTTTCTCAATCAGGACTTTAAAAATGTTTATGCTTTGCGCATAGCAAATTGTATATTGGCCTTATTGGGTTGTGTTTTAAGAGAGTTACCAGAAAATGCCGAATTGGTAGAAAAAATTATATTTTCTTCTAAAGTAGACCTATTGGCTTTACTAAAACATCCTAATGATCTACTAAGATTGAGAATGTGTATGTTGATACGTTTGTTGGGCAGATTTAGTTTAAGGGCGTTACAAAATTCCTGGTCCTCGAATGTTAAGCAAGCCATTGAAGACTTAGCCGAAGATAATAATGGAGAAGTAAAAGAGGTATAAAAAAGCAAACAAATATTATGTAAGACATTTTTATAAAATAGTGCTTTATTTTACAGGAAGCAGAAAATACTCTAAATGAACTACGTCAATTTTCATTTTATTCTTAAAGTGGAAAATCACAAACATTTTTATATTTTAAGCTTAAAAACAAAGGCATTTATTTTTGTCTTACTATGTAACCTTTTTATGTGTTTTTAACAATTTATTTTATACTTAAATTATACTCTTTTTAAAATTTTAATATTAAGTGAATATTTTATCTAATGTTCCTTGGAAATAATCTATAATTTCATTTAATGAGTTTCCAAATCGATCAAAATTAAATATGTTGAAAGTATTACAATCTTCTTCGTACATTTCATTCAATTTTTCTATATCTTTTTCCGACAAACCTTTACGTTGACCCACACTAGCATTGGGATCCTGTAAGTATAATAGTTAAAAGTTAAATAAGCTGCTAATATGATATTTACTTGTAGGTTTTAGCTTACCAAAGGTTCTATGGTGGGTTTACCATTTTTGCTAAAGGCCTTCGAACTATAATGCATAACACTTTGATAGTCATACTCTATACCAAAATTACTAACATGTGTGCGAGCGTATTTATTAAAGTTATGGGCATGCCCTGGTAAAATATTCTCCCAGTTTATTTTAACATATTCGTCTCTTTCAGTAGCCGATTGTTGATGATAGAAACCCAAGGCATGTAATAGTTCATGAACCACAACACCATGTGTTACACATTTTGGTGTATTGAGATTAAGCACCTAAGGACAAAATTTGTGTTGAAATTATTTTGAGAATTGAAATAACTTTTTATTTTTCAGTTACTTACTTGACCACCTGTTCTACGACCTACACTGGACCAGCAACCGGAGTAGTTACCTTTGAATACTATCCAGTTCTTATCTCCTTTTTCATAGGGACGAAAACGTATGCAGGTTTTATCATGATATTCCTTAAAGGCTCTGAATATGGTCATCATTTGTGCTTCATCTATAAAGCATTAAACGGTTATCAATCTTTGTTGTCAGCAAAAGAAACTAATATTGTTACTTACCAAAATCTTGACTATCTATATAAAATGGCACCGTGGCATCGGGCCAAGTAGCTTTTTCATTCAATAAACCATTACGTAAATATTCACGATGCAACATGATGTCACCTTCAAACAGACCACTATGTTCCCATAAATTATCTTCATGATGCTTTTTCCAATATTCAAATGCTGGACCTTTGATAAAAAACGTATAATTTCAACTTACATTGCGTGTAGACGTTTATTTAAATAATAGTTACCACATACTGTTGTGTTGTCTCAACATGAGCATATTTGGCCCCCAGCGCGGACGAGGAGGTACTACGGGATTCCAATCGCTTATAGCTTCTCCACAAATTACAACTACTGTAATGCAGAGTGTGAATGTAAAATAATAACTCTTTAATAACATTTTTTCATTTGTCTTTAATTAAACAAAAAAATGGAGCGAGCAAAAAATACAAGTTCACTTTCTGTACGAGTGTTAAAAACTTAAAGAAATGCTTTTTAATTTATCGAGGGCCTTTTATAGCTTCGGTTTTTTTCAGCTCTAAAGTAAGTTTTACGCTCACACGCCTTTTGAATTTTTTAATAAGAAGTTTTCAATTTCAATTTTAATTTGCTTTCGAATTGAAGAACACTTATTCGATCAATTGAGCTGTTTGTTGGTAATCAATGTGAATGTCATTATGAAAATAAAATGTGTATATGAATTCCAGCAGTTGTTGTCTTAAGTGCGATTTAAAAAGCTGAAAGTTTTTAGATAGTTCTTGTCACTCTGCTAAGTTATTTAGTTATGTTGATTTTGTTGTTAAAGTTGTAACAATTGCAATGTTGGGCAAAAAAGTTGTTTATAAAACAATTTACCTAAATTGTTGATTGTGTAGGATGAGAAACTAATAATAGTTGTGTGTGCTAATGTTATTTACCTATTTACGATATAACTATAACATGTTGAAATGTTCCTATTAAGAAAAGAAGGGTGTTTAAAAGTCATAAGTAATGGGCAAGATACATTGTTTTAAACATTGTGCTTAAAGCTTATTTTATTTTTACCAATTTAGGACACTGGGTTAGTATTTTTCGGCACAACACCTGCATACTAATCATTAAGTTGTTATCCAAATCATATGTTTTATTATTATGATTATTTTTGATTTTTATTTTCCCTTTTGTATTCTTTGGTTGTCATTTTTATTTTATTTTTAAACTTTGTATAATTAATCATAAATTCGTGACATGGTCATGGTTAATTGGAGATGATCAAAATAAAAATAAACATCATTTTGCAAAAATTTTTCGTTTGTTTCCTAAAGTAACAGTTTGTGTACTGGACTGGGGCTCAATTGACTGTAAAATGATCATTTCTATGTTAATTTTATTAATATAGCATTTAAATTACTGATCAATTTAAGTGAGAAGAGCAGTTGACTTGAAAGTGGCATACAACTTTCACAGCAACGAACTTAAGCTCAATTTTAATTGAAGAGACAGTTAGCTAAACTTTAAAGTTTGGTTAGTGGAGGAATTTTTCTTAATCGAACTTGAACTTAAATATTTGAATAATAATTAGATAATTATGTAAGCTTTACTTGTTTTTTTTTTTAATAAAATCTGTAATACTTAATTGTTATAAATTTCATAAACTCAAAAGTTATGTATACACGGTTGTTAGATCTTACAACGTTGGCAGTAAAATGTGCAGAAAATGTCTATTTTATCTTGCAATATTGTCAGTAATGCTTTTTCTGACAAGGTTGCAAAAGAGAAATTTCAAATTCACACGATTGTTGGACATTTTCTGCACATTTTACTGACAACGTTGTAAGATCTGACAACCGTGTATCAGAGCTGAAAGTTAGCACGATAACGAAGTCTTAGTTGAAACTAACTATGAAATAGTTTGTTTTTAGTTTTATTTATTGCTGTTAGCAAAAACAAATTGAATTCAAGAAATATCACTCAATTATCAGAGTATATAGTAATTGTGGCTTAAACTGCTAGTGTGAAACTGTTTGCTAGATGTTTGTTGTTGCATGTTAAAAGAGAGTTAATTGATTTTACATTTCTTTTTCAACACACACAGAAGTTTACAAATAGACTTACAATACACACACACACACTTACTGTTTATAAATGTACACATAAATTGTGTATATAATTGTGTTTGGTTTGGAGTTGTAGAATAGAAGTTTTTTTTGTTCTTTTTATGCTCGTCTCGTGCTAAAGAAAGTTCTGCTAAAAGTTCTTTGAACTTTTCAAAATGATTTGGTGTTAAAAGAAAGCACAGTGGGCGAGAAAATAAAACATTCAAAAGTAGCCAATATTGCTTAAAAAGATAAAACTTTTAGATTTTCGCTATTATGTATATCGATACCCTATATTCAAAAAGTGCTAAATCAATAAAGTCTAGTTTTGAGGAAAGCAAAAAACTATTTAATTCGTGAAATATTGCACTAAAAGACAATATTTCTTCCATAATACTTTTTTAACATCCTTACTAATTCTTACCTATGAAAATTTTTAATATTTTGCACATTTTAGCGACTTATTTAAGATAGCACTTTTTGGTCGACAAAAAAAACAAATATTCGTTCTAAGTTAGCATGTTTTGTTCAAAGAATAGAACAAAAATTTCTTCTAATAATATGCGTTATTTTATAATTTTATGAAATGTTTTTTTTTTTAAGGGATATAAGTCAAACCAGTAAGTCCAATAAGATGCATTTACACCATTTAAGTAGAAAAACTCATGGCATATCTGCTTGTTTACTATTCCTTATTCTGAGTACAAACATTTTAAATTATGAAAAGTTTTTGAATATAAAAAGTACCAATATTTTTTGAATAATACTCCATAATTTGCACATTTAAAGACTTTTTTATAATCAAAATTCTAAATTGAAACCATAGAATATTATAGATCTTAGTGTTATAAACGATTTCTGAAATAACTTTAAATTTTTCGAAATTATTTAAAGTCTAAAACTGGCTTTATATACAAATATATAAATGATCATATCTTAAAAACTATACATTCTATTTATTAATCTTCGCTTGTTTTGTGTTCAGCGTGTTCATCTTGTTAATATACAAAATAAATTTGAAGTTTTAAAATATGTTGTAAAATTTGTATGGAAGTTAGCACTTATTTTCTTCAATAAAAATTTAACTTTGAGATAGCATATTAACAAAAATTGTTGTTAAAAGTGCAAAAATTACTTTTTTGGTTTCAAATTTATACCAGACGTGGATCATGCATTGAGGAATCCTTTTGCATCAAAAACTCACTTTGCCCAAAATTGAGTTCGCACTTTTTGAATATAGGGTCACGATATGTACTTAGTACATACAAGTTTGTTTCTTAAGTCTTTTGTTTTGAAGACAAGTTTTTCAAAGTGATTTTAATTTTTATTTTGTGAGAGAAAACGTAATGAGAAACGTGTAATTTTGAAATAATTAAAATTGCAATTATGTACATACATATTTTCTTGTAATAATCGGTTTCCGAAAAAAGTGAGGGATTAATGTTTATATAAAAGACATTTATGGACAATTTCATTGTCCTTTTGATACAATAAATCATATTTGTCGATTAATTTTTATACAATTTACTGACAATAAACTGTTTTTATTTAAGTGGACCTATTAGGGTTGAAATTTGTTAGAGGATATTTTTACCTGATACAACTTTTTTTTATAATGACATGGCAATTATATACTTTAAAGTAATTTTCTGTAGGGTGCTTAATATGACGCCGACCCTCACTATAATAGTGGAGAATTTCAAGTTCTTACCTTTTTCCCTTAAGACTTTATCGTGCTTACAACAGACAGACACAATGAAGGAGGATTTTAGGTTTACGCCCAATATTTCAATATGTTATAGAATGACAAAATGTCAGTAGAATCCAGTCCGTGTGTGACCCGAAACTTCAATTACACAAAACTCTTGTATTAGAATAAAACAAAGCAAAATAAAAAAATTGAGAATTATCAATCGATAAGACAACATAATAAAGACATTTTCACTAATTCTTATAACACGCAATAAAATCCTAAATATGTTTATGATATATCATTGTATAATTATATTACTTTTTTCGCACAAATTTAATTATGTTCATATATTCTCTCTACATAATTTTTATGTTTAATGTCTGACAACATCGAAGCTCAAAACAATTTTCAAACAGCGTTAATGATCGCATAAAAAACAACTAAAAAAATATTACCGATCATAATAAACAAACTAGTAAAATATATAAAATATGCGAAAAGAAAATCTCACGCACTTGAAAAAAAAATAGTAACAGCAATAACAACAGCAACAGCTACCAGTACCAAACTGCAATTAGCAACTCTTCCCCAATAGAAAATTGTTTGCACACAACCACACTAACAATTGGTTGTTGCACATCTCTTGTTTTTTTCTTTTTTGCTGGTACTCTATCTAAAGCAGCAGTAGTTGCTAGAAATCATTGGTTGTGCCAAGCAAAACAACACTAGCGAAAGAAAGAAAAACCAGTTGAGTTAGTTTCCTTCCGGATTCAATTATTTTTCTTCTTGTTGCCATATTTATTCATTTTCCCGTATTTGGCGCCGTCTTGCATGTTTTTTTTTTGCTAAAAATCACGATCATGACCAAACGCAAAAAAAAACTAAAAACAGCCAGACGCAGCCAGATAAACAGCAAAGTAGAGATCTATTGCAAGGCAGTGTGTCAGTAGTGTAATGTTTGTTTTTATTAATTTTGTTGTTGGTGTTGTTGTTTTTGTTGTATTTTTTGTAATTTATTTCACAACTTTACGAATCACTGCCATATGAGTTTAGCAAACCAATATCATCATTATCACCATCAACATCACAATCATTGTTTTGTTACCATGATATTGAATTTATTTTTGATTATTATAAGGAGTATTTCATATCTGTGTGTGAAACTTAAAAAAATATTCCATTCGACTCAGAATAATTTGTCTTCCATGTAGACTTTGTAATTACAATAGAGAACGTATTTCTGGAAATAATTTAGTCAATAGACTAATCCTTAGAGTGATTAAGTCCTTAAACTTGTCAATATATCAATCCATAGAATAGTCAACAATAGACTAGCCAATAGTTGTCAGTATAATAGTTAACAGGAAATTCCATAAACTAGTCAATGGTACCTTTAAATCGCTTAAAATTGTTGGTATTAATATCAAATATGGTTATGATATTAAATGAGTTGTTTTATCCAATTCAGAAAAGTTCAGTGAGCCCTTATATAGGTCATTCTTGAGATAACCTACCTAGAATCTAAGTCCCATATCAGACTAACATTCTGTGTTTTCTGGTAAATCGAATAAATTTGTTTTCTAACTTTTAACCCTTCGTCTGGATCCTATTGCACTTTGTTTGCTTTTGGATAACGAAAAGTCGTGTTTTGTTCATATTTAATAACCTAGTTTTTAACATCCTGGTCCTATTCTATCAACATGTCAAATTTAATCT